TGCGAATGGTGCCACTGGGGCCTTCGGTGGAGCTCCCTATGGGGCGAAGCGCTGTCCTGGGTGCGGGAGACGCATGCGGACGGTGCCACTGGGGCCTTCGGTGGAGCTCCCTATGTGGCCACGAAGAGTCATGGGTGGGGGAGACGCATGCGAACTGCGCCATTGGGACCTTCATTGGGGCTCCTTATGGTGCCACGAAACGCTGTCATGGGTGGGGGAGACGCATGCGGACCCTGCCACTGGAACCTTCGGTGAGGCCCCCTGTGGGGCCACGAACTGTGTCAGGGGTGTGCCTACATGGGTGGCGCTGACGCATGCGGACCCTGCCACTGGAGCCTTCGGTGGAGCTCCCTCTGGGGCCACGAGACGCTGTCCTGGGCGGCGTTGACGCACGCGGACCCTGCCACTGGAACCTTCGGTGGAGCTCCCTCTGGGGCAACGAAGCGCTGTCATGGGTGGGGGAGACGCATGCGGACCCTGCCACTGGAGCCTTCGGTGGAGCTCCCCATGGGGCCACGAAGCGCTGTCCTGGGTGGTGTTAACGAATGCCGACCCTGCCACTGGAGCCTTTGGTGGAGCTTCCTATAAGGCCACGAAGCGCTGTCCTGGGTGGCGCTGACGCATGCGGACCCTGCCACTGGAGCCTTCGGTGGAGCTCCCTCTGGGGCCACGAGACGCTGTCCTGGGTGGCGTTGACGCACGCGGACCCTGCCACTGGAGCCTTCGGTGGAGCTCCCTCTGGGGCAACGAAACGCTGTCATGGGTGGGGGAGACGCATGCGGACCCTGCCACTGGAGCCTTCGGTGGAGCTCCCTCTGGGGCAACGAAGCGCTGTCCTGGGTGGTGTTGACGAATGCCGACCCTGCCACTGGAGCCTTTGGTGGAGCTTCCTATAGGGCCACGAAGCGCTGTCCTGGGTGGCGTTGACGCATGCGGACCCTGCCACTGGAGCCTTCGGTGGAGCTCCCTCTGGGGCCACGAGACGCTGTCCTGGGTGGCGTTGGCGCGGACCCTGCCACTGGAGCCTTCGGTGGAGCTCCCCATGGGGCCACGAAGCGCTGTCCTGGGTGGCGTTGACGCACGCGGACCCTGCCACTGGAGCCTTCGGTGGAGCTCCCCATGGGGCCACGAAAACGTGCGAGGGGTGTGCCGAAATGATGGGCATGCCGAGAGCAGAGGCAAGGAGGGGGGAGGGAGAGGAGGAGGAGAGGAGAGGAGACGCGGATCGCTCTCTTCAAAACGAGGACCTAACACCACATGATGGTTGGGAAAAACGCTGCCGGTCGGTGGGGCGGGTCAACAGTAGCCGTTTTCCAGAAATGGGAGTCCAACCATAATAATATGAATGGTGTTTGCTCTTCGTTGCTCGCGATACTTTCAACATGAAGCCCCAAGCCTTCGGTATCCGCCCTGTTCGTCTTCGGTCGTTCACCCCTTGGGGTATGTGAGATCCCGGGTCGAAGGTCCAAATCCCCCTCCCCCAAGACGGAATGGGGGGGACGCCGACGCCGACGCCGACGACAGCGACGACGACAACGAGGACGACGCTGACACCGACGCCGACGCCGACGTTGACGCCGACGCCGACGCCGACGCCGACTTCGACGTCGACGCCGACGCCGACGCCAACGCCGACGACGACGCCGACGCCGACTCCAACGCCGCCGACGCCGACGGACGACGACGACGACAACGACGACGACAACGACGACGACAACGACGGACGGACGGACGGACGGACGACGACGACGACGACAACGACGGACGGACGGCGACGACGACGACAACGACGGATGGACGACGACGACGACGACAACGACGGACGGACGACGACGACGACGACGACGGTCAAGGACGACGACGACGACAACGACGACGAACCACCCCACACCCACAAGAGGGGGGTGCACCGGCACCCTCCACCACGCCACGCTCACTGGCCACGAAAACAAGGGGGGGGACGATCTCATTCGCAAGGCCTTCGCGAGGCTCACGGACGAGCCCATCCAGCCCGGTGTGTGTGGCTCGATCCCATATGCATTTGGGGGGGAGGGTGGGTTTGACCCTGAATCATGTGTTCCTTGCCTGCCACGTGTACTTGGTTTGGCCCCCCAAAACAAGAAGAGGAGGAGAACGAGAAGAAAAAGGAGAAAAAGAGAGACAGGAGAGGGGGCAACAGGAGTAACTAGAGGCGGATGGAGGGCGAAGGAGATTTGGCAGGAGGGGGGGAGTGAAAGGCGCAGTCAGCTCGGCACGCGGACCCTGACTGGCGAGCTGGCCCTAAAAGGCGGGTCGGGCGGGCGGATCCTGAGGGGCGGGCAAGGCGGGCGAGGCGTCACAGCGGGCGGGCAGGCTCCCCAAGTGCGCGAGAGACCGGATCCGGACGGGCAGCTCAGGCGTGCGGGCACTGACGGGCGGGTCGGGCGGGCGCACCCTCGTGGACGGGTCGGGCGGGATATTGAAGAGGGCAGGCGGGCTTCCAAAAAGGCGGACGGGCGGACCCGAACGGGCGGGGAGTCGGGCGGGCGGATCCTAACGGACGGGTCGGACGGGCGTGCCCTGACGGGCGGGTCGGGCGGGGGGGGGCATTAAAGCAACTTTGGCTAAGCGCGGCAAAGCCTCGAGAGAGAGCACCGATCCGGAGTAGAAGATTGCACGGAGTCCTGGTGCGAGAGTGTGATTCCTCGACGTCGAGGGCGCAGGGCCTTCGTAAATTGCACGGAGGTCTTAGGCGAGAGCGCGATTCGGGGGCAAACTGAACACGTCTCGAGTGAGAACGCGATTTTTGATTGAAAAAACGAAGAAACTTATCAGGCGGGAGCCGCTGTTGTACGTAGTCCTAGGACCAACCACGCAGTTTGAACCTTAAGACTTCCCCCAATAAAAAGCGAAGTGTAAACCCTGGGGCGTGGTAATTCAATCGAAGAATACGATGGGCACTGAACGAAGAGGATCAACAACAATCATTCTTCAGAAGCGAGAGCGCAACGTGACAAATCGCGGCCAGAGCCCTCGCCCCCAGCCTCATGCGATAAACCCCGATACAGACTCACCTGCGAGGGCCCCCTGGGGGCTCCAAGGCGAGCGAAGACGCCCGGGCCGAACATAATCGCGACGCTCGGATCTCAGGGTCGTCTGCGCCGCGCGGTGCACGGGGAAGCCTCCAACTTGGCGGCGCCGCTGACGGGCGGCTCCCCCGGTCCGCACCTCGGCACGCCAGCCGAGCCGACGCCGCGAGCGAGAGCGAACCGACCGCCCATCTGTACGGGCACAACCATTGTGCTACAGTTGGACCTAGGACAGAAAGAGCACCCTTCAAGAAACAGGAGACCGTCCGCCAACCAAACTGAAAAGCATGCGAGGGCACCCTCCCCCGAGATGCACACTGTCATCCATCAAACACGACGAACATTAGGGCATCCTCCCCGAATCGACCTCGACCTCGTACCTCGGACCGACTGTACCACCGGGAACGCCGAGGCAAGAACGAGGCGGGCTTTCTGGGCCATGCCCGGCTTCGGCCACGGACGGTCCTCGGCCCCGACCCAGATCCTGCTGGGCCGAAGGACGACGCACGACGGAACGGCCACGCCCAGACTGGTGGACTTCGAGGAACCACGAGCGGCGCACCCCCATGTCGAGTGGGGGGGGGGGAAAGTGAGAAGGAGGATGCCTCCTCAGAAGGCTCGGAAGTCCCCAGGCCTTCTGAAAAGCTTTCGACGCCAAAACCTCTCAGAAGGCCAGAGGCCCTCTGAGAAGCCCCGCCGCCTTCTGAGAAGGCCTTCGCCTTCTCGCTTCCCCCCCTCGCTCGCCGCCGACAAGATCCAGATCCGCGGAGCGGCCGAAAACCTGGGCGGAAGGCGGCAGGGGCCCTTGACTTCAGCGTCCCTGCTGCAGGGCAGCGCCCGTCGAAGAGGGACGGGCCGATGCCGCGGGCGAGCGGCGCCCCGGGCCTGCACCACGCCCTGGCTTCGAATCCGCCGCATTTGGGGCGAGCTCGTAAGTAGGGCGGGCATTTCCGCCCTACTCTCCCGTCGACACGAGATGGCGAAACTCATAGTTAACTGTTCTGCCCGATTCGTTTTTTCGCATTCTTTGATTAACAACTAACTTCACGCCGCGCCGATCCATTTTTCGTCGTGGCTTTGGTTTTCAATGTTGTTTTCTGTTTTCTCGTGTCGCCGGGAGACCACTTTTCAAGCTCATTTGATGCCAAATTCCGCCTTGCTTCTTTGCCGTGGCTGTTTCCGCCATGCTTCTGCGAACATACCCACCCTGCTCTTCTGAGGCAGGAATGCAGAAATGTATGCCCTGTTTGTTTCGCATCGTCCGGGGCGCGGCCTGCGTTTCCAAACCCTCCTGCGCTGGGCTCTCGCTTTAAATCGAGCACTGCGGTCTCCACTCCTTCCTTCCCGCCTCCCTGTTCCTATCTCTCCCTCTTCACCTCTCTATTGCCAGGGGTCGGGGCAGAGGGGGGGCGCTGGCTGGTGGGGGAGGAGGTGGTGGGCCTGCTGCGAAAGGAGGGGAGGGGGGCGTGCACGGCGCTGGTGCCGTGCCCAACTGAATGTGTCGGGGCGGTCGGGGCAGAAGGGGCGCGCTGACTGATGTGGGCTGGCTGCGGAAGGTGGGGAGGGGGGCGTGCACGGCGCCGGTGCCGTGCCCAAATCAAAGAGGTTGGGCTATTTTTCGTCCTTAGCAACTTCTTTGACGACCAAGGGCCAAAGGGCCCAGTGAGCCCCCACCCCCCCCGGACACGGAAGCTTTGTAACAACCTCCCGCCGTTGTTTCTGCACGGCGCGAGGGGGCCTGGGTTGGCTGTCAGGTCCCCCCCCCGCCCCAGCCTGTCCTGGGGTGCTCGGAATGTCGAGGCGGAGTCCAGCCGTGGCCAGGAGGCCCAACAAGTAGTGCGAAAAACAAGCGGACACCCTCGGTCTCCGTGGTCGGCCCTCGACGAGCTTACGCATCTGGTCCATTCCCCTCTTGGCGAGGGCGCCTCAGGCTCAGCTCGAAGCCCTCGCCGAGGGCGAAATCTTTCGGCTGCACCGCCCAGGACAGGACGCCCCCCGCAGCGGCGCGCTCCGCAGGGCCCTCGTCCTCTGGGGGAGAAGGGGCCCGATGGCCTGGGCCACGGAGGCATCATACCGAAGGCGGTGCCGATGCTGACAAGGGCGACAACAATGACGATGCCGATGACGATCATAACAACAACGATAATAACAATAATAATAACAATAATCAGAATATGAATAGTAGTACTGATAATAATAATAATAATACTACTAATAATAATAATAATAATAATAATAATAATAATAATAATAATAGTAACACAAATAAAATAATAAAACCATAATAATAGTAATATTACGAATAATATTAATAATAATGATAATAATGATAATAACAATGAAAATAATGATACTTAGAATAATGATTATGATGATGATGATGATGACGACGAGTACTATTATTATTACTACTATGATGATGGTGATGGTGATGAAGATTATTGGGATGACGATGCCAATAGCCATGGTGATGCTAGTGGTGCTGATGCCGATGGTGATGATGGTGATGATGATGGTGATGCTGCTGATGATGATGACGATGATGAAGACGCGCGCGGGTATCATCGGGCTTGGGTGCGGACCTCCTCGCGTCGAGGGAAGAGGGAGATTCGAACTTCGAGATTCAAAGCGCGAGACCTCCGCTGGCATTCCGCCGGGGGAGCCTCCCGCCCTAGGTGCCGGCCCTGGGTGCTGGCCCTGGGTGCCAGGCTGGGCTGGCCCGTGCGTAGCCTCCTGTGGCAGACCGCCCGTCTCGCTGAGCGTGGGGCGACTTCCTGTGGCTGCGGCTGCCTGGCCTCGAATGGCTTGGCCTCCCGTGGCTGCTCGAAACCCCAAACGGCTTCGCACACTTTGCTCCAATAGTCAACTGTTTGTGGTCCACGCGCTGGGCATACAACGTTAGACCCACCACGCACCCCAGAAAAAAAAAACTATAGATTTCTTCCAGATTTCGAGCACACAGGAAAGCACTCCGAAGCGTTCAACAGATTTGTCATCTCTTTTGTTCCATGTCTCGACCAGGTACCCCCTGAAACGCTTTAAGCATGAAATGCCCTCCCCTGCTTCCCAATGGGTGGCCGCGCTCTCCTCCGCTGCGCTCATCGCCCCCTCCCTCCCTCCGCCCTGCTCCGCTCCAATCCGTCCCTCCCCTCCCTTCTGTTCCCATCCTCTTTCCCTCATTCTCCTCCTCCTTCTCCTGCTCCCCGTGCTACCCAGACCCCCGACGTCGGGATACGTTTCGCAACTGGGGACCATCTCTCGGCTACACGTAAGAATGACCCTGGGTAAGAGTGACCTTTGGTGCGCGGCTTTTGGTGGCCGCGAAGGGGCCAAATCCAAGCGTGCCGGCCAGTGCTGTGGGAACCCCTGTGAGCCCGCACCCAAAGTCACTCTAGCGAGGGACTTACGTGCAATCGAATCTCTAGGACCACCTTTCCATCCCATGTGGTTTCTTGACGGTCCCAGGGTCCCAGGGCCCGGCAGGGGTCGCTGGAGGCCGAAAATGCTCCAAAGCATTTCGCTGTGACTTCTCCGCGACGCGAGAGGGTCTGGGCTCGGGCCTTGGCAATCGACTCGTGGACTTCTGTTTGAACACATTCTAGCCAGAATGTCGAAGCGGATCCAGCCGTGGCCTTGAGGAGCCCCCCGAGGCCCAAGGCGACAGACGGCAGAAAGCCTTTCACCGAGAAGCTCGAACCTCCCCCCTCCCCCCCTCCACCTCGACGCGAGGAAGTCAGCGTCCTCCTCCCGCTGCTGCTGCTCGTCCTTGTCACCGCGCCGCACGCGGGCGGCAAAAGGTCCTCTGGACCCACGCGCCACTCGGGCCTCCAGACCACCTGCGGGGCTCGGGGGGAGATGGGCACGGCAAGGTCGTGTCGTGCCGACTTCGGCGTTGCTTCCTGACACCGTGTGGATCGTTCAACATAGAACGATCGGCTGCTTTCGAAACATCCGATTGTTCAACATCGACTTATTCTGGGTCGCCGGCGGCGTTCAACGCTGAACGCTGGCAGCAGGGTCGCTGCCGGTCGACACGACGCTAAGGCAAGGGAGATCGAGAGAGTGACGGGGGGAGGGGGAGGGCGAGGGAGAGAGAGAGGCGAGGGCGAAGGCGAGGGGGATGGGAAGCAGATACCGTCGGACCTCGGACGGAAGAACACCCTCCAAGAGCGTGAGGCCCTCCGCTGGCCAAAACGAAGAGCCTTGGAGGGCACCCACCCTCTCCGGTCGGGACCGACTGTAGAAGACGCCCCAGAGGGTACGCGTCTCTACCGAGGACAACCCGTGCTCCAGACATGAAGAGGGCATGCAGCGCGAGAGGCAGGAGACAAACATCGACCCAAACATTGATTTGAACCTTCAGGCCCGACTTTGGATACGCCGAGCACAATGAGGTAACCGAACGGTCTCACAATGCCCTGGGTGCGAGGCTGAAGTACGGTTCCTCAATGCGGATTCATATGATGCTTACTACCGCTGTTCCTATTACTCTTCGTTATTGTTATTCTTGCCGCCCCTTCCACAACCCACCCGCGACCCGCCCCACGACCCCCCCTCGACCCGCCGCATTTTTATTCGCACTTGAGGGGGGTCTGGTACTGAGGTCTCGCCCCCGTGGGGGCTGCGAAACATGCAGCTGTCGCCCTTATGTATTCGGCGTTCTTCGGGATCCACCAAAGGGGGGGTGACCCAGAGGGGGGGCATGAGTTCGATCCGTTGGTATACCGAACTGCCACATACAGATGCCCCCCGCATGCCCCACCTATCGGCAACAATCGGGAGCTGCCGGCGGCTGGGGGGCATCTGTTTTGGGCGGTTCGGTGCAAGAACCGATCGAACTCACACCCCTCCCTGGGCCCCCCCCCCCTCTGCGGGATCCCGAGTTTTGAAAGCTGAGGGTGTCACGAGATCCTGTACGGTACACTTTGACATCGTTCTCGTGGCGTGTGACAACAACATTGTCCCACTGTCCTGATCAGGCGCCGCACGTCGAAGAACCTCGACAATTGCAACAAACTGCAAACGAAAAACGTTCTGCCGGCTGCCTTCCAACATGCAATGCCCTCCCAAGTCCCACTTGGGCTTGGGCTTTGCGGTCGACAGAGCCAGGCGAAGGCAAACGAACATTACTTGAGCAGCGGATTGGCTGTCAGCTGGCTGCCGGAGCTATCGGTGCTACCACCCCCTGGATTAAAAGTGGTGATCGGCACTATGCGAGGGAACAACCCCTAGACCTTCGCTAATCGATAATTAAAACCTCGAGCTTCGACCTTCGATCGATCCCAAGATGACTCCCAAACAGGCTTTTGACCCGAACAGAGGAACGGCGCCGCAGGGGTGGACGAGACGCGCGGTTGTTAAGAAATCTTAAACGAAATCGCCACTCTCTGGCGGCGTGAAAAGCGGCCGGGAAATACCCTGTGAGGAATTCTCAGGCGATATCGCCACTCTCAAGCGGCATGAAGATCATATATTCTGATGGAATCCCACGCTAAATCGCCATTTTCAGATGCCATGGCAAAGTTTCAGATCGCCCTGGAAGACGACCTGGCAGTTGTTCGAGGAAGCCTCGGGCGGAATCGAACTTTCAGACGCTGACCCTATTTATAAGATAAAGAATGAGAAATGCATCTGAAATTCCCAAATCGGCCCGAACTCCAACATTGTCCCTGGGCCCCGCAGCCGAACAGGAAGCCAACCGTGTCTTTCTCGATCCCCACGATTTCGACTTTTTGATCCAGCGGATTGTAGATGGCACGCTCCAGAGACAATGAATCCAAACCTGTTGACGTCTAGCTTTTGCTTCCGCCGCATTCCGCTGGCCTCCCGCCAGCATCAGAAGGGGAAGAGATGTCGGCCTCATCCCTCGAAGGCGGGGGGGGTCCTTTCTGGAGCGCCCCGTGTGTCCAGGCGACCACAGACCAGGAGAGCCTAGAATTGAATTGATAAATCGAATCGGCGATCGAAATAAATCGGATCGGTGGAGATCGGCAGCCAAGTCGGGAGGAGTCGAATCGGCGGAAATCGGCAGAGTAATGGGACCTCATTGATGAATCGGAATCCGGATCGCAATCCGAAATCGGATCGAAGTCGGAATCTATATCGAAGTCGGGTCGGATCGAATCGGAGGCATCGAAACGAGCCCTGACATACCAGCGTCGGCACTTGACAGCGAACCACCTCCCTCGGGGGCGCGGAACCATGGATTAGCGATCCATGGATTTGGCGCGCGGTCGCCAAATCCATGGATCCCAGGGAGGTGCCCTCCCCCAAAATGCGGCTGGCGCCGCCTCGCTCGGCGGCGGAAATCCGCGATTTCCCCCGAAAACGCGGACCCGTCGCTAATCCACGCCCCCTTGATCCATGTTTCCGATCGCCTGACCTCAGCCCGCCTCGGCGGTCTGCGGGGGCCCTGGGTGGGACAGGGTGGCTGTATCATGTGGAGCCCTGTGTTCCAGATGGGAGAAGTCCTCACGCCAGCCAATTTATGGCAGCGGCGGCCGCGGCCCAGCAGCCGCAACGACCGCCACAGTCTCTGCCACTTCTGCCAATGCAGCTTGCCACCTGAATTCGACTTCCAGCTTTCAGCCGCCACACTCAACCCTGTCAGCCTCCAACCTACAGCCGCCAGCGCCTTCGCCACCTAGCCTGTCTCCCCACCCTCTCCCTCCACATCAGGTTGATAGCAGGGTCGTTCTCGCTGGGTCGCCGCCCTCCTCCCCTCAAGGGTGGCCGGGGAAACTATGCAATTATTCCACCCGTCTGGGGGGTCCTCCCCGTCCTGCGGTTTCTTCTGCGCTTGCTTTCTACAACACTGGCCTCATCACCTGCCCCGGAGGGGCGACCACCCCAGAGGGGGAGGCAACGTCACATCGTCACAGTATTGCCTCTTGCGCCACCGTCAAGGTGAGGAGGCGGTGGTGGTGGGCAGGCATAAGAGGCGGGGGCCGTTCGACTGTCGTGACAATAGTATTGTACACCACAGCACGCTGCCATGAAACTCCACTATGAAGAGCATGCACAGACTCGCCATGTGGGATAGAGAGGACTGCCGGGTCACAAGTAATCCCTAGGAGCACAAAGAACCCCCTGGATCGCCTGGTCACAAGGAGCCTCCGGGAACACCCAAGAACACTCCTCCGACACAACAGTGAAACCTCGGCAACCGAAGTGCTCGTCCGATCTCCTGACTCCCCCATTCCACATCATCGCTCTTTTTCCGTTCCACACTGTTCCGCGCCAGCTCCATCCGCTCGATTTAATTGAGCTTGCAGAACATGACCAGTTGATACTCCCAAACCGTCTGCCACGAGAATTGGCAACATCCCTGTTTCTCCCCCTTCCCTCCTGTTCAGCAGCAGCATGGGCTCGATGAATCCAACGCAATACATGTGACAAGCTCGATTATGGATTATTGGCAGTTTTCCTCGCAACGTGGCCTCCGTATCCGTGCAGGCGCCTCCACGTGATAAAATCGTGGTCATGGATGTGCTCTGCTATACATGCTTATTTGATTTGATATAACTAAGAATTTGTTTCGGATATCCTTCATCGAAATCGTCATGACGCTTCGGAGAAAGTAGTTGCTTTTCCAACTGCTTCGTTCGCGCCGCCCTCATAGTGGGCGAAACCCTCCGACGCAACTGGCATATCGGCGCAAACAACAGGCAATCTGATGAGAAGGCACGGCGCACCGCTTTGAACTTTGGTGCTCGCGCATTCGTTTGGCTCGCCAGCAGCGACATAACATTTCCCACCGCAAAACACCCCGTGCAAATTCTAGCGCGAATATGACGATCCGTCTGGCCTCTCGCGCTCATCCAGATGCCCGGGATCTGGGGGCGGGCAGACCTTCAAACGGGGACGCTTCGCACCAGCGCTGGTTACAAACAGCTTGGTACGATCCCCAGACAAAGACCAGCCACATTGCATAAGTGCCTGCTGTCATCACTACCAAATTCCTGCTCCGCCCGCAATAGTGTTGGCCGAGACAAACAAGCTGTAACTACATGGGACAAAGGAAATCAATAGGTGATTGCATAAATTGCATACTTTCTCACAACGCAGGCCACAATAGGCAGCGGGCCACGTCGAGCAATGATGCGCCGACGCGATCCCCAATGCACCTTTGCCACGCGAGCCGCGGGCAATCCGCCGACGCCATCGCGAAGAAAGCTGGTCCCCGATCAGGCCCTTGAGGCACGCCGCGCGCGAGAAAGTCGTAGTAGACGTATCGCAACATAGATGCACATTACATCTAATGAATGTACATTAGATGCCATGGACCAAGCAGCTGTAAATCCAAGTACTCCACGGCGTGGCAACGCCTGCAATAATCCAATACGGCAAGCAACATCAAGCGTTTTGGGGAAACATCTGGTCCGATCACAAATCCAACGCCACCATGCGTGCGCCCCTGCGCCTCGGCAGAATGGCAAACGCCATATCCATGACAAGTTGCTCTTCACGGTGAGCACATAGCCACGGCGCCGCGCCCGCAGTCTCATCCTCGACCGTCTCCAAGGAGACGCAAACCATCACTTTTGAAAGTCGACTCGTGACTGCCAGGTTGACGCGCGTGAAACCGCGCTACCATGTTCTCCCCGGGCGCAAAGGCCAAGTCGAATAGGGCGCGCTTGGCGCCCGCCGCCCTCGCAGCACCATCTAATGGGCAATTCATCGAATGTTGGCACCTCCACTGGACTTCACGTTCGCGGTCTTCTGGGAGGGCCGACCGCGTCGCTGCGCTGAATTTACTTCGATTGCGTCTGCCAGTAGCTCGTGAGCGTCCACAGAGGGCCGCCCACCTCGACGCCCCCAGTCGGCAGTCTGTTCCCGAGCGGCATCTCAAGCGCAACCCCAAGAAGAGTGCGCCGCGCGCGGGCAACGCGGCGCACGGGCGCGCGCGCGTGGAGCTAGGCGCGGCAGGCGAGGTGAGAATGCGTCGATGGCATCGCTGGCGAAGGGAGTCGCCGCTCGATTGAAGCGGCGACGGACGCGGCGCGCGCGCCCACCCGTGCTTAGACATGAAAACCAGCGCCGTGGATCTATGGCGAATTCCTGCGATCCACCACCGTCGAATTTCTCGCCAGCTGGTAAAGCGCTGGAACGCAGAGGCCGCTGGCGACAGAAAACGCGCCGAGCGCATCATCTCTGCGCGCAAGAGCCAACCCGAGCAAACATCGACGCACCTGTCATTCAGAGCCAACCGACAAAGCCCCGGGCAGGAGACGATGAGATAGTCGGCACGTGTCAGCCCCGACTGAATCACGCGGCGCGCACCGACGGCCAGCATTAGACGAACCGCGCACAACCCCATCGAACTGACCTACCCACGCCCGCCCCAATGCGCCCTGGGCCCACGGCCGCCAGAGTCGACGGTTTCGGCATGTTGGAGGGCGCAACGCCCCCCTGCGCAACCAGAGCCCAGAGCGCGTTTCCTGCGACCACGTCTTCTGCGCAACGGAGCTAACGAGACTTGCAGTTCATGCCACGAATGGGACGGCGGAAGATGCTGAGAGAACTGCCGATCTCCAACTTCCCGAAGACCGAGGAGGCGAGGCCACGCGGCAAGGAGCAAGTTTCCGTGGGCTGCTGACCAAACAGTCTCTGAGAAGCATCAACGATCTCCCATGGGCCAAACGATCATTAGATGCAGGATCAGCCAACGCACGACGACCTGAGTTGTCGGCAGCCACCTGGCCTCAATCACCAATGCGCGCGTGCGGGGGGCTGTTTGGGACATGCCTATGCACTTGGCGCCGCGCAATCTCGCGCGTTCAGCCCGCGCAGTTCCCGCGCGCGCTCATCTGCCCCAGCGGCGTTGCCTGCCTCCGCTTCGCCCCCAGCTCATGCTGGCGCGAACAATTTTCGTCGCCGCTCCTGCGCTCGCGCTGCGATCCGCAGTAGAAGCCCGCTTGCCAGTAGTAGTTGGAAGCCCTTCTAATCTCATGTCTGTGCTCACCTCGCCCGAGACAACATGTGCCAAGATTTCAGGCCGTTGAACTTTCCATCCGATCGGTTCTTCCTCCCTCCACGCACGCCCCTGTCGGCAACCGAACTGCGCGACCATCGCCCCGTGGCCAATCGTAGCTGCAGCAGCGTCAACCGCTCGCGCCGGCCTCTGCCTCCCCGTTTGAGCCCTAGAGATCGCGCAACCGCCCATTGGCGCGGCTTCAATCAATCGCGAGGACACAAAGGCCAGCATCAAACGTTGGATGTGCACGCGTGCCGCTGCAAAACTCGTCTTGCAAAGATAACCCATGCTGAGTTGCCAGCGCTATGGGCCACTCGCCGCGCTCCGACAGTGCACCTCGAGAGCAGTCACCAATGCCGCGATCCTCAGTGCACTGTTCGTTCGGAACAATCCCGGCGTCAAGAGCAGGTCTAAGAACCAAGACGCCCCCTGGCAGTTGAAATCTAAACGTATATTTGGCGGAGGAGGTCTCATAAAAAAGAAACAATCATCCGATCGCTGTTGGGGAACATAGCAGGACGAGAAGAATGAGACACCGCTTGTCGTAGCTCGACTGCACACAGCTCGGGAATGATCTGGAGCAGGCGGCTGATGAACACAACGCAAATGTTATCGATTGACATCAATAGCACAGCCTCGCAATCGAACAGGAAACCCGAGACACAATAACCAACATGTTCCAGCACTCGGCAAGGTGGGTTTCGTGCTACACCAAAAACTTCTCGTAGTAGCCACTCGTCCCATTCGCATTCTACCGGTTAGAACTCAATGCACGAAGCCGGTTCAACTGCCACCCACAGCAAGCGCGTTACCACACCCACGGTTTGAATATGCTTCTTACCTGATGATTTGGTGCCACGAACCCTACCCCGAAAAGAACAATTGTTTCTAACATCCGCCTTGCGCTGCTCGGTGTCTTCCTAGAGATTGCAGTCTTCCATCAAGTCAGAAATGGTCAAAACTGCATCACAATTCGCATGATGAGTGTGACAGCTCCCACCGCGTTGTAGGCAACAACCTGACCTTCATGCTGACCAGAAGCATCTGGAAGGGAACAACTATCTTGAACTAGCGCCCCAGCCCCTCCGCTTTTTGATAGAACCACAACCATATTGACCGACGTCAGGATTACCGGCTGGACATTCTTGTTTTTCTTCACCCACAACCTGAGGCCCAACCACAGGAACACCCTGAGGTGCATACGCAGCCCGTCCACTATCCGTACCTCTCAGAACATCCGTTTTGTTCAACGCACTCGCGATGCTTGCCCAAAGCAGCCCACACAGTAAGATCATCCCGCATGGACAAAACCACCTGGTTGCAGGATCAACACGCCACCTCGAGCAATAGCTAAAATTTCAACCATTGATTCAGTGTTGTCTAGATACGACTGCGTCTCATCCTTTCCCGAAGCTCCAGGACAGCCGCCGACCAGGACCTTGAAAAAGTCATCTCCTTGTGGTGCGTCAAGTCGTTGATATCCACCACGCACATCCACGCACCGAGTCCGCAGCGGAACCCACGCTCATTGGCCTCGACCCTGCAACAACACCTTGGGCAACATATAGGGAATATGCAGCCGTGTTGTCACCACGCTGAGCTACCAGAGCTGCAGAACTAGCATTCGCATCAGCAGCTCCGACATCCTTCTCGATCTTCCTCAAACTGGTCTTGATGTCACGGCCCAAATTCTTCATGAGACTCAATCGATCAGTGTTGGTAGTATCATCAGAAGGAGCTGCACGACCTTCACCTCCCTCAGTCGCCATCGTTTCTTCATAATCCAAGAATTGCAGGTAACTTCACACATTACTGAGCCAAACTGGGAGGAGGCGGGGAGGAGGATCACACGCCGTGAGGGCGACAAGGAATAGAAATGTCCAGGAGGTCAGCCACCAACCCCTGGGGATGGCCCGTCGGAGATATTCAAGCGGTCAGCCAGGGACCCCTAGGGATGGCCCTTTCGGAGGGGACCTTCCTGCATTACGGGAGAAGGCGAAGGATGAGGAGGAGGAGGGGGAAGAGGAGACAAGGAGGAGGCCCAATGAGGAAAGAGAGAGTGAGAAGGAACGGGGACTGATGGAGGAAGGAGGATCAGGAGTAGGATTCCTCCTCCCCCTGCCCCCTCGCCCTCCCTTTTCCTCCTCCTCCTCCTCGTCCTCCTCCTCCTTCTCCTCCTCCTCTTTCCCCACTCCTTCTTCCCCCATCCTCCCCTACCCCTTCCTCCCCGCTCCTCCTCCTCATCCTCCTCCTCCTCGTCCTCCTCCTCCTCCTCCTTCTCCTCTTCCTCCTCCGTCTCCTCCCCTCCTCCTCCTCCTCCTCCTCCTCCTCCTCCTCCTCCTCCTCCTCCCCCCGCTCCTTCTTCCCCCATCCTCCCCACCTCGTCCTCCCCCCTCCTTCTCCTCCTCCTCCTCCTCCTCCTCCTCCTCCTCTTCTCCTCCGCCTCCTCCTCTCCTCCATCCCCTTCCCCCCCCCCCTCCTCCTTCTCCTCCTCTTCCTCCTCCTCTTCTTCTTCTTCTTCCTCCTCTTCCTCCTCCTCCTCCTCCTCCTCCTCCTCCTCCTCCTCCTCCTCTTCCTCTCCCCCCCGTCCTCCGCCTCCCCCCCAGCGTAGGGAAGGCCGCCGGGGAATCGGCTATGCGCTGCAGCTTGGCGCTCGGCCACGGTGCCGCGGCGAAGTCCTCCCGCCAGTAAAGGCGCCGCGCGGCTCCAGGCCCGAAGCGGTGGTGCGCCGGCCCCCCCTTGGGGCGCGGGTGGGGTGCACGACGACGACGACGACGACGACGACGACGACGACGACGACGACGACGGCGGCCACGACGATGACGACGACGACGACGACGCGCTGCGGCCGTGCGCCCCAGGATGTCGTCATCTGCCTCTAAGCCGCCCTCGTCCTGCTGTTCTGGCGGCGTCGATCGGACGCACCCGGGCGGCAACGACAGCGACGGCAGGAGGAGGGATGTCATCTTTCCACCCCTCCTTCCCTCAACTTGCCCAAAAAATTGCAGCGAGGACGAAGTGGATGGATGTGCACTGGATTTGCGATAGCAAACGAGACTGTTGCGACCACACGCGCATTTACTGCTAAAACCGAAAAAATACTTGGCAAAAACCTGGAAGCCCGAGAACTGATTCAAAACAGATGGGTTCCAATATGAACCAGGGTCGAACAAGCGACACAAACAACTAATAACCCTGACGGGCGGCTTCCGTGTTTGGGGGGTGACAGCAATATGTCCCCCCGGGAAGGGTGGCATTGTCTTCCCCCGACACGTCCCCCTCCCGCAGGGGGGAAGCGCCGCCCCTGAGGCTTCTCATTGCTGACGGGAGAGCGGTCGGCCAGACCGAGACGCGGCCAAGCGTGGCCAGCGGCGAGGCGAGAACACATATCGTCGTGGTCGTCGTCGTGGTCGTCGTCGACGCGGCTGTTGGGTTCCAAGCGCATCTTCGAGGAAGTCTCACGCGAAACGCTCGCATTCGAACCGTTTGGAACTGGATACTATTGTTTCGAACCGACGTGGAACCGTCAGAACAACAATTGGTGTGAGGATGTCCCACGCGGTTTGCCATTTTTTTCGAACCACCATCCCATTATTTCGAACCGAGTTGGAACCGTCAGAACAACAATTAGCGTGAGGATGTCCCACGCGGGTTGCCGTTTTCGATCCGCCATCCCAGTGTTTCGAACCGAATTCGAACCGACAAGACAACAATTGTTGTGAGGATGTCCCACGCGTTTTGCCGTACTTGAACCGCCATCCTTTTGTTTCGAACCGCGTCCGACGCCTTATTTTGAAGGAAGTCCCACGCGAAGCGCTCGTTTTGAACCGGATTCTTTTGTTTCGAGCCGAGTTCGAACCGTCAGGACAGCCAATTTTCTGAGGATGTCCCACGCGGTTCGCTGTTTTTGAACCGCCATCCCGTTTGGCGTAACAAAATTTTAATTAGGGTACCAAACCCTAGGTTGCCCTCTGCCCCGGTTGCGAGGCACCTCCCCCGTAACATTGTACCAGGCTCCACGTCCCTAACGGGGCGACTAGCGACGTGTGCTCGCATTGCGGACGAAGGATAGAGGCTCTTTTGTTGAGCCCTTCAAAATGAGGCAATCTTTCATCACGGCACAGTGTATGCATGCCTACGTACATGCATACATACATACTTACGTAACTTCTTACATCTACGCATACAAGCCATGCATACATGCAGACATATATACATACATTCCTATCATAAGGGCGTGGCCACCCCATGGGGTCTGCGGAAACAGCGACAGCGCACAGATTAAACCGAGAGACGAGGGATCATCAATCTCTTTTCATCAGGCAAGCGCCGTGGGACACACGGTGGTACTCTAAAGAATCGAGCCGGGGAAGTGGGACCACTTCGGCGGCTAAGTGCAATCACCAAAAATTGCCACACACAGCCATTACATTTGCGGTGTGTGGGGGTCGGTGGGTGGGAGCTTGAGCAGGAGCGGTTTCGGAGCAGAGGGAGAGAGCAACAGCAGGAGCAGCGAACGAGACGGACGCGGCTCCACTGCTCTGAAACTCCCGAGGCCACTCGCACTTAGGAAAACGAGTCAGAGACAATTCATTCCTATCATAAGGGCGTGGCCACCCCATGGGGTCTGCGGAAACAGCGACAGCGCACAGATTAAACCGAGAGACGAGGGATCATCAATCTCTTTTCATCAGGCAAGCGCCGTGGGACACACGGTGGTACTCTAAAGAATCGAGCCGGGGAAGTGGGACCACTTCGGCGGCTAAGTGCAATCACCAAAAATTGCCACACACAGCCATTACATTTGCGTCCCATCCCCATCGTCAAATGCCCTAGGGAGGGCGGGTGGGTTAAATCATTATCACTGCTTTGGTCCGAGGCTGGGGCGAAGAGACAAGACTAGGCGGCGCACGCGCGCCTGGGGATGTCACGAACCGTTGAGTCAGTATAACGGGCAGCTGACGATTCTGCGGTTCGGTGAGCTTCGACATCTGACGAAGGGCGTACTCGTGCTTTTCATCAATACGAACACTCACTCGGGCGCGCCAGCACTGGCGCTGCCGGATGGCCTTGTTCGATCGAATACGGTTCAGAGCGTTGGCGAGGGCCCTTCGCGGCGCAACAAGTGAGGGACTGACAGGAGATCACCAACTCCTGCAGAGTGGGCGGCCTGCTTCAAAGTCTTTTCAAACAGAGGAGGGGGGAAAGATTGAACAGAGTTGGCAGCTTCGGGCGTCTGGCACGGGCTCAGCCTATGAAGAATTTCGAGAAAAAATCGGCGAACAGGCAAGTCAGTGCCGGCCTTCATTGTGCCGACGAAATCTCGTTTTCGGCTGGCTTGCGTCGCAGGTCAGTCGGACGGCCTCACACTGTGGCGGCTCTCGCGGCGTAGTCGGGAGCTTTGCCGCCCCGCCAGTCAGAGCATCTTTGGCTTTATGGAACCGAGGTCGTCCAGCAGACCATCTTTGAACTTTGCAGAGCCCATACAGCGTTCTCCAGTCAAGTACTGGGCCCACCTCCAAAGAACGAGTCTTCGAAGCACAAGACGAGCGTCTCGTTTGTGAGCTCGGGCGTGGTCAGCAGCAGGCTCCGGCGATTGGCGTAGTCGGTCAGCCCGATCACGGCGGAAGTGTAGCTGTCGACTGTGGATGGCTGCAGCGGGGCCAGGCGGAGGTACTCCCCCCGGGTTGGTTTGCCGCTGACTGGCAGCGACGTCTCCGCGCGCGGCAGCCTGCGCTCGGCGGCGCCGGGCGGCCACGGCCACTGGACGGGGGACACGGTCACGTTGGCCTCGGCCTGCGCGCCTGGGCGTCAGCACGGCTGAGTCGACGCCTGCCTCGGCAGATGCCCGGCGGGCGTCGACGCCGGGCATTGCCCGCGGCTGCCAGTACGACCGCGGCTGCGCCGGCGCTGGTGCAACCGCCACGTCAGCGGCTGCGCGGGCGCGGGTCGAGCGCGGTGGCCCACCCTGGCCCCCAGGGGAGCCGAAAGCGCTGCGGGCAGATCGGCGCCGAGACTCCGCGAGGCTCGGCGACCCCGGCCGTGCTTGCCAGCGCGTGAGCCCAAGCCTGGAGGTCATCCTGGGTCGAGCGCCCGAAAGCACTCTGAGGGGCGTCTGGGCCAGCCAACGAGACCAGCAGGCGGCACCAGCTGGGTAGGTAAGCACCGGCCAAAGTCGTGCGCCACGTCCAACCTCGCGTCGGATGTCGGACCTTGCCTTGCAGCTCGACCCTGTGGCGACCAGCACAGCAGCAGCGCAGTGCAAGATGACCCAGCCCAGGAAGGCCCCCCGCGATCGCACCTGGCTTCTTGAAGGGCGCGCCAAACCTGCACGAGTCAAACAGCACCTTCGGCCAGGCAAGGCGCTGCAGCTCGCGCTGCAACGCGGGCCACTTCCAGACTCGGCTCGCAGGCGGGTTCTCGAAGGTGACGAAGATCCCGAGGGTCCGGCAGAGCCGTAAGGCACGGACTGTGAACGCCACGAGCGCGCGGTCTGCCGGCAATGGATCGCGGGTGCCCCCAACGGGCACCCACCTCGTACAAGGCAGCCCCAGGTGGACCCACCAGACTTCTCCTGACTTGAGCCAATGTTCAACAAGACGTTGGACTCGACGGCTCGTGAGGTCACAGTGGGGCCCATACTTGGAGTCCATCGGGGGCATGATCCGAAAACCTCGCTCATGCAACGCACCACTGAGATTTGCAGTACCCGCGAAGATCTCGAGGAAGGCTTTACGAAGGGGACCCCGTCGAGGAACTTCAGGAGGCCGAGGGCGCTCAGCCGGTGCCCGTTGAGACTCTTCGTGTGGCCCAAGGTGTACAGGTGGGCCCTGTTGAAGAACTTCAGGAGGCCGAGGGCGCTCAGGAGGGTCCGGTTGAGGACCTTCGCGTGTTCCAAGATGTCCACGTGGGCCCCGTAGAGGAACTCCAGGAGGCTCGAGTGCAGCAGGGAGGCATCGAACATGCTCAGGTTGGTCTTGTCGGGGTCGGTCGTTGGGGCGTGCTTTCGAAACTTCATCATGATGCCATTTACTCTGGTGAGAAGAAGAATGCGTGGTAGAGAAGAGCTGAGATGACAAAGGTGACGGGATGCAACAGTCTCTTTCGGTGTTTTCAGGCCCCAGCGACTCGGCCTGCTCTCGTCCGATCTGAAACTCGATGACCGCGGTCGGCGGGGCCTCGGCCCTGCCCGCGGCAGGCGGGACCACGGGAGAACGGCGGCAGCCGCTGGTGGGCGACGACAGGGCGCCCCGTCCGCGGTAGCGTCCCGCGAGGAGCTCCCCACGGTCGGCCGCCCGGCTCCCGTGGTCCGCGACGTTGTGTATGCCTGGCACGTGCCTCGGGCGCCAGCGGATCTCGCACCCGAGGCAGACAGCCGCAGCCCGGCGGCACTGCGCCAGGAGCTCAAAATTGGTGGCCCTGCCCTTCTCAAAGGCGAGGACCGACGACATGTTGTCGCACAGGCTGAGGATCTCCTTCCCGTGGAAGTTGACGTCGCCTGCCGCTCTCCATAGCGGTGCGACGGCGGCGCGCGCCTCGAGGGCGTGGATGCGTCCCGGTCGGCGCCACGCGCCACGGCGGCGCTCCACCCAGCGGCCAGCGTCCAGCAGAGCGGCCGCCAGCGGCTCGGGCGGGACTCCGATCTCCAGCTCGACCCGGCGCCTCTTCGCCACGGCGTGCCGCAGCCGGGGCGGCACCTCGACGGGCAGTGGCCCGGAGATGTCGCAAAAGCCGGCGGCCCGCCCTTCGTAATGCTCGTCGTCGGGCGCGACCTCGGGCTCGATGGCGACGAACCGCTGGCGCTCGCGCCATCTGGTGGCCGCCAGTACCTCCCGCGGCTCCAGTCGGGCTTCGCAGACGGCATAGCCTCGCAGCGAGCTGTCGGTCGTGAAGGCGACGTCGGACGGCACGCGGCACAGGTCCACCTCGCCGAGGAAGACGAGGCCTGCAGCCACTGCGAGCTCACCGAGAACATCTCCAGGCAAGCGCACGACAGGGGACAGGTCGCCGTCTCCGATGAACGTGTAGCAGGACCCCAGCACGCTGAGCCCGGGGCGCACGACGGAAAAGTAGTGGACCAGGTGACCGACGATCCGCCGTAGCTGCCAGCGGGCGAGCCATGGCGTCCGAAGCACGTGGTGCAGAGCCAGGTAGAGCCTCCAGGCACGCTTGGCAGTATGCCTGAGTCGGCCCTCGCGCCCGTCGAGCACCAGCCCCAGAATGACAAGGCCGGGCTGTGCGCGCTCGAGCTCGTGCCAGCGAAGCCCACGACGATCCAGTTCAGCAGTGAGCTTGTCCAGCCGGTCATTGAGCGCCGGCGCGCTGAGCGCGACAAGATTCCCGTTGTCGACGTACGGCGCCCTGACGACAGCCTGTCCGACGAGAGTCGGCGCACGGGCTTTGTCAAGGCACCAGCCGTCGCCTGGGAGGCCCGCCTCGTCCATCGCGTCGACGAGAACCTCGTGGCAGATCCAGAGCGCCCAGCTCCAGCCCATGGGCAACGCCGCGAAGCAGGGCCAGATGACGTCGTCGCCTGACACAGCCACGCGCCGTCCGAGCTTCTCGTCGTAGATCGAGTCGAGCCCGAGCTCGTCGGCGGTGACCTCCACGTCGAAGCACATCCAGCTTCCCCACGAGGGGTCGGCGAACTGGTAGAACCCGTCCATGAGGTCCACGGAGCCTGCGCAGAGCGACTCGTAGCAGCCATCGAAATCCGCCAAGTCCTCGGGGCTCGCACCGACGGCGTCGAGCAAGTTGATCGAGCCCAGCGCCTCACCGGATGCCAGCACAGTCCGAGGGGGGAGCTTGTGCAGCTGGTTGGGCTGACGAGCGTCCACGACCATGCGGATGTCGCCGTTCTTCTTGGCCACGAAGAAGGTACTGACGCACGCCTTCCGACGCGCCCGGCCATCCACCAAGCCCCGTGCAGCAAGTCGTCGAAGGAAGTCGACGAGGCGCGGTCGGTTCCGAGGGTCGCGCGGGTTGAGGAGAGGATCCCAGTAGGGCTCCACGATGACCTCGTCCTCGGGGATGCTCGGCGTGGGCCGAACGACGTCCGAGTTGAAGTGGTCCAGCGCCTCGGTGACGTGCCGAGGGGCGACGTCTCGAAGCTGACGAGGCCGGTCATGTGGCGCACGTCGTAACACATTGAGCGTGTCAGCATCATAGTCGCGGCGAGTAGAAGCCTCGCCCATGTTCGAATACAGATCCTTGCACTTGAGGAGCTCCTGCAGGGCTCCAGCACAGTCCATGTCTTTCGGTCGGTCGCCGAAGCCGCGAACACGACGTCGGACTCGCTTGATGACCGACTCCTGGGCGGTAGTCGGCCGATGCTTGCCGGGCGCTCGAGGCTCGAGACGCCCCCCAGCCCGTGCGCCTGCCAGCGCGTTGAGCGCCCCCAGAGCCTCGAGAGACCTCCGATCACGGTCGTCAGCACGAGCAGCACGCTGGGCCAGATACCGAGGCAGAGCGGCACGTTCTCCACGATGAGGGTGGCGATAGAACTCGTCCCCCTGCGGCAGAGGAAACAAAACTGTGGACGAAGTCCGACCCTCGGAGGAGACCCCCTCGGAGGGCAGCCCGGCCCGACTCGCATTCGCGGCTGCGGAGTCGGGGCCAGGCCCAGTGAGGCCGGGCGGAGCGCCCAGCCATGATGGCGCCGGCATGGCGCCGTCAGCCCTGATCCTTCACGGCGGCCTTGGGCATCGGCTTCACCTTGCCCTTCGGGTCCGCCCTGGGGTCCCTCTCCCTGTCGTCGCCCTGCCTCTCGTACTTCTTCGCCTCCGACACCTGCTCCACCCGGTACATCCGTTCCTCCTCCAGAATGATGCCCTGCGCCTTCTGCTCCTTGGCCACGAACGCGTCGAACTTCGACGTCACGACGCCTCTGCTCTCGTCCAAGGAGCTGATCAGCGTCAGGTCGAGGCCCTCGAAGCTCAGGAGGCGCGGGCGCCCCTTCACCGCCCGCTGGATCTGCAGCACCCGGCGCCCCAGGAGCTCCAGAGACGCCAGGCTCGACGGGTCCACGAGGTCGTAGGTCGCGCCGTGGTGCAGCTGGTTCAACGCGTGCCGCACCTCCTGGGCCACCACGGCGTTCCGCGACACACGTGACTCCGAGACCCAGTACCCCCAGTAGGAAGTGAGGGTCAGCCCCGTGACAAGGATGGCGGCCAGCAGCTCGGGCAGGGCCCTCGACCCCCAGGACGGCCAGTCGCCAAAGTCGACCGCGTTCATCCTCGCGATCGCCTCCCCGAGCGTCACCTGGCCCCCGCGCTTCTCCCCGCGCCGGCCCTCCTCGTCGGCCTGCTGTACGCTCTCGACCGAGACCCACCCCTCCTCCTCGCTGAGCAACGCAATGCCCACAGCGTCGCGACTGATCAGCCGCTCGGGGCTCCCGATGAGGTGGAGGTCCAGCTCGCGCCAGAACCCGGGCGAGCCTGGGTCCGAGACGATCCAGCGCGGCACGACGCCGCCAGCAGCCCCAGCCGGGGCAGAGACGCCCATGGCCAGGGCGAGGCCGCGCGCCTCCCCCCGCAGCACCTCGATGTCCTCGTTCGACTGATCGCCGAACGCGTAGACCTGCCCCCGAACCCAGGCCGGGAACGGGGACGCCCGGCGTAGGGGGCCGACCAGGTGCTTGCTGAGGTCCAGCGTCAGCACCTCGCCATCGGGAGTCGTCCCACAGGTCCTTTTCGCGGAAACAGGATCCACAATCCGGAAACGAGCGGAAATTTGGAAATTGGATCCGGAAATTCGGAAATTTCCGGAAATCAGTGGAAACGGAAACGTGGAAATTATGTGTTGTTGGTTGCATGCGTTGTGTGATTGCAGCATTGGAGCGTTGTTTTTTGTTGTTGTACGAGGGCTTGGCGGCCAGGCCGCGCGGGAACACTCTTTCGAACCAGCGTGTCGATCGTTATACGCGCCGCATCGAGGCCGCGGAAGCCCCCAACAGCACTTTGCGCTACGGCGTTAGCAACATACGAGGAAATCGGGAGCACATCGGGAAGGGACAATGGGGGAGGAGGGGGAGAAAAAAGAGGAGAGAGAGGGAGGAAGAGGAGGAGGAGGAGGAGGACGTCCCGCATGTTTAGCAGAGAAACGTATTAATACATACATACATATATATATATATATATGTATATATATATACCTATATATATACATATACACATATATATATATACATACACAGCGCTGTGGCGCAAAACTTCGAAGAACAACGCGTTGCTGGACGAATCAGGCGGGATCACATACAAACCAATGCGAGGGAGACCATGGCTCGGCGGTGGAATACCCGACGCGGGAAGAGGCAGAGGAGGGAGGCGGAGGAGGGGGATTCGGAGGACGAGTGGAGAGGGATTGCACTTCTTCCGTCGGTGCGCACGCGTGCGAGATCTCACATATCACCACGCAGCTGCATGGAATTGCTGCAACGTATGACGGCCTGAAAAAATGTCGATCGCGCCAGGCCGCGAAACCACGAGACATGGGGCACTTCAGTGTGATCCCCCTTTCTCGTTGTCTTTCCTCCTCCTCCTCCTCCTCCTCCTCCTCCTCCTCCTCCTCCTCCTCTCCCTCCTCCCCCTCCTCCTCTTCCTTCTCCTCCTCCTCTTCCTCCTCGTCTTCCTCCTCCTCCGCTTCCTCCTCCTCCTCCTCCCTCCGCCTCCTCTTCCTCCTCCTCCTCCTCCTCCTCCTCCTCCTCCTCCTCCTCCTCCTACTCCTCCGCATCCTGCGCCCCAACTGGCAGCCCAACCCCTCCCTCGCCTAGTCTCCCCTCCCTCCCCCCCGCGTCGTCGCCGTCCGTCTTCTCCGCGCCCCTGCCTCATCATCCGCATCGTCCTCACCGTCAGTTTCGCCCCTGCGCTCGTCATCTGGCGTTTTGTGCTCGCACGTTCGATCGATGGTCGCACGGCTCGCGCGGGGTTTGATGCGCCGTCGCCTTCGCAGCCCCACGGCCTGGAAACTAAACCCGCTCACGGTCCCACGGCCAAGCGCCGCGTCGCGAGCAGGGTTTAGGGGGGGACAGGAGGGGGGAGGCGGAGGAGGAGGAGGAGGAGGAGGATGAGGAGGAGGGGAATTTGTTGTTTTTTTGTTTCACAGGTCAGTGCAAACGTCCTCTGAGACTTGAGCACCCCACGGTGTGATTCATGAGCAACACCGTGGGGTGTTCAAGCCAGAGGTTTCTTGCCAGCGGAGAGCGGCGAGGAGGGGCACGGAGGGGCAAGAGCGGGAAGGGGAACGAGAAAGGGGGCAACCGCACGCTGGGGACGAGCAGACTTCTGAAGTCTTGGCTGGTTCAGTTCGCGGGGTTTCGGGGTAACCTTCGACCCCAACATTCGTGTTGTGAATGTCGCGCCGCTCCGTCGCACCCAGCGGTAAACACGGAGTTGTGAGCGGTCGAATTCGAGAGCATTTGCATTCGCAAACGCTTGCTAGAGCTGCCGCGACGCAGCGTCTCCCACACGTCAGACAGCAGCACGCGCAAGCGAGAGTCCCATTCCGTCCCCTCCTGCAGTTCTTTCCCGCCCGCCCGTTCTGCTCCTCCATCCAGCCTCCATCTCCTACTGCTCCCGTATTCCCCCGTCCTTCTTACGCCTCCCCCCATTCTGTCCTCCGTCACCTTTACGGGGAGGGAGAGGGGGTGCCACATCTTTGAGGGGGCAAGGGCAACACATCACACGACGTTGAGCGGGGCCCGACCCCGCGCGCATTAGACATGCGTTCGTGGCTATAACGGCCAGCGTGGCTATTCTCAGAGTCCCATCCTGCTTCGTGATCCCCACACCCTCTCCCGCGTTCCTGTCGCGACGCTCTTCGGCGCATTCCTCCTCATCCTCCTCCATGCCGTCGCGTCTGTCCTAGTGCTCATCCGTACCCGTCGTGCCCTCGAGCCCCCCTTCCTTGTTTCCTCCCTTACCTCCTCCTCCTCCTCCTCCTCCTCCTCCTGCTCCTACTCCTCCTCCTCCTCCTCTCCCGTTCATGACGGGTGCTCCTCAAGCAGAGGGGGCAAAAAAAGCAGTGCACCCCGAGTAGGGGAACAACAATGGGACGCAAGGCTGGCTACGCAATCAGGTGGCTGCGCAGGTCGGTGCACAGGTAGTGCAAGTCGATGCTTGCGGCATGTCTATAGCGCTCCCCCCCTTCCAGAGGAGTATCAGGGGGAGACGGGGGAGAAGGAAGAAGAGGCGAAGAGCTGCAGCAGAGTCAGGGCGAGGAGGACAGGAGGAGGAGGATGAGGAGGGGGCGAAGAGGAGAAGGAGGGGGAGTGGGAGGGGGAGGAGGAGCAGGAGGAGGAGGAGGAGGAGGAGACGTAGGAGGAGGAGGAGGAGACGTAGGAGGAGGAGGAGGAGGAGGAGGCGAGGAGGAGGAGGAGGAGGAGAGGGATGAGGAGGAGGAGGAGGAGGAGGAGGAGGAGGGGGACGATGGGGGATGAGGATGAGTATGAAGAGGGGAAGAACGAGGAGGAGAAGGAGGAGGAGACGGAGGAGGAGGAGGAGGAGGAGGAGGAGGAGGAGGAGAACCCCCTAAAAAACGCCCGCCGTGGTGGCCAGCAAGCGCGGCCGCTCCAGCGCGCCCACCGCCAGCGCAGCCACCGCGCAGCCTCCGCGGGAAACGGGCAGGCGGGCGAGCGGTGGCGGCGGGGCATGAGCGAGCGAATGAGGTAGAGAGAGGGATGGGAGAACGAGAGGGAGAGAGAGAGAGAGAGAGATAACAAAAGAGAGAGAGAGAGAGAGGGGTAGGCAAAGAGACACCCGCGCGTGACCTGTGAGCAGCACGATTGCAGCATCAGCCCATGATGCGAGACACGCCGCATCCCTCCAGCCGTCCGTAGGCATTTCCCGTCGGGTCTGTGCGTGCCCATCGGCATTTCCTCCGTTTTCCTCCTCGTTTCATTTGCTTGTGGCTGGCAGCAAACCAACAGGCCAGAGAGGAAGCAGTGCGCCCCTGAGCCCACTCACGCCTCGGAATCTCGCCTTCAGCAGCGTCCGTTGATCGCGCAGCTCCAGCGGGAAATGCCGATGGGGTTTCGCAGATCCCACGGGATATGCCTGTGGGCACGCACAGACCCAACAGGAACTGCCGATGGGTTTTAATGAATCCCGCGGGCAGTCACAGATCCTACGTGACATGCTCGGGGCGTTGGCAAGTCCCACGGGATGTGTCGATGGGTTACAGGTGATCCCGCAGGTGTCGGCCCCCATGGGGCGTCGGGCTTTTACAGGTCCCACGGGGGAGGGGAAGGGGGGGAGAGAAGGAGGGGGGAGAGAGAGAGAGAGAGGGGGAGAGAGAGAGAGAGATAGGGAGGGAGGGAGAGAGAGGGAGGGAGGGAGAGAGAGAACGAGCGAGGGAGAGAGAGAGAGAGACGGAACACGAAATAGGAGGGCGAGACTATATAGAGAGAGAGAGGAGAGAGAGAGAGAGAAGCCGCAGCCGTCAAGCATGCATGGTGAACGAGAGAATCCAAAGAAAGATAGAGAGAGAGATGAGAGCGAGAGAGTGAGATATATATAGATATAGAGAAAGAGATTGGGGGCGAGAGGGAGAGAGAGAGAGAGAGAGAGAGATAGAGAGAGAGAGAGAGAGAGAGCGAGAGAGAGAGCACGTAAACGAACATGACATTGAATGACATTATTCAGACACACGGCGGGAGAGAGAGAGAGCG